GGTGCTGACATTCAGCAGATGACACCCTGGCTTTGCTGGGAGCCTTTGCAAGAGAGCCTTTGGAGATGGCCAGAGCAATTCCTCATCTGTAGGCAATGAGGCTGGGGGCGAGACTGGGAGGGTGGGGGGGGTTTGGTATCACACCACCGTAAGAACTGGACCCCTGGTTTCCTAACCCTCAGCCTAAGGTGGTGGCTTTTATCCCTCCACAGTGCTGATACTCTCACATTCTCTCTAGACCTGCACTGGAGACCAAAGGTGTCCACTGTCTTCTTGTTCATAGATTTACCAAATAGCAAAAGCTGAAAAATATCCAGAAATATCATCTGTCTCTCTGGCTGTGTAGCATAGTAGTTAACAACATGATTTTAGAGTCAGACAGACTTCAATTTATATCTGTATAGCAGGCTTCTCACTGCAAAGTTAGGATAATTTCTAACCAATAGGGTTGGTGTGAAGTTAAGTTAAATGAGATGCAGTATGTGAAAATAATAGGTAACACTAATTAGTACACACTCTTCTAAGCAGTTTAATTCATTTTATTCTCTCCATAATCTCATGTGGTATCTACTATTATTAAATCCGTTTTACAGAGAGAGAAATAGAACCATAGAGATGTTGTAACTTGCCCACACTCATAGCTGGTAGGTGGAGGAGTCAAGATTTGAACCTGCCTTCAGAGTCCATGCCCTGAACCATATTTGACAGGTAAATGACAGATATGGATCCACAAGGGCCGACCCGAGGATTCCAGCTTTCGGGACAAGGGTTTGGAATGAACAGAATAACCACATTGTACCTGCCCTTTCAGAGTGGTGGGAGTTGCACACAGTAGGATGAAAAATGTTAGGTACCCAAATTAATAAAACAAAAGTAACAAAAAAAAAAAAAAAAAAGACAACTGAAACATGGTAGCTGGGATGAAAACACAGACTTTAGAGACAGAGAGACCAGGATTTGAATTCTGATTTTGCCTCTTATTAGACCTTGGGCAAGTTGTTTAACATCTTGGAGCATCAGTTTCCACATCTAAAATTGAAGCTAATTCTCCACCCTGCAGAATTACTGTGAGTGTTAGAAGCCAAGATGGTTAAAACGAACATTTAAAAAAAGGTACACAGTAGGGCAGACATTTCATTATGACAAGTCTTATTATTCAACAAATACATATTGAGCTGGTTGAAAAGGATTTAAAGATGTTAAGATACTGTTCCTTCCTTCAAGGAACTTACATGGTGGAGGTGATGGAGGTACATACCATTTGGTAGGAGATGTCTTAGGAGAGGTGAAACACACAATGAGCATTAGAGGAGGGCAAGATGTTTTTCCAGCAGTGGCAATTGGAGAAGCTTTCATGGATATAATATTTAAGATTAGCCTTGAAGGATGCAAAGAAAGTGAGTAGAGCATTCCATAAGCTTTATTAGCAAAGGTAAGGGTGCCAGAAAGAGCCTGTTTGTTTGGGGAATAGTAAGCAGTCCAGACTGGAGACGTGAGTCAGGCGCAAGAGTGTGGCAGCAGAACAGGAAAGGAATTTCCAGTTAGACTTGGCACATTAAATATATGCATTTGACTCTGTTCCTAAAATGACAGTAAAGTAATAAAGTGTACACCCACAAAAGCTCTAGGAACAAGAGAAGAGACAATAGCTGATGGATGTCAAAAAAGATTTGGAAGACGAATAGTAGTAGGATGATATTAACTGATTTAGCAAAGACAAGAAAGCTGCCTGCAGGGCAGGCAGAGGGTGGAGAAGCTTTCAAGACGGAAGGCAGTTTGATATGAAAAACAAAAACAAAAGCAAAAGAACAGAAAAGTTTAGAAAGTAGAGGTAGCAGGTAACTCTGAAGCTAATGGGATAGAGTTGGGTTGAAAACACAGGGATGAGTTGAAAGTCGGATCCTCTCTCCCAGCCATTGTAGCCAGATGGCTTTCTCCACTCTACCTAGCAAAATATAGGAGGTTTGCTCTCTGGAGAGGCTGGAGGAGAAAGATTTTGGACTTGAGGAAGACACCAAGCAAAGCAGATGGAAGAGGTAAGGCACCATACTGAAATAAGGCGGATTAGGTGAAAGCCTTCATCCTGAAGGATGTGATCACCCACCTCTTCCCCTGTTGGGCTCCCAGAATGCTGGGAGCCTGGCTTACACTCTAGAGGAAAGAGGTTGGGGAAGTGCCTCCTGGGTAAACCAACTGACGCAAGAGAAACACCTACTGATACTGGCATTTGGGGGAGTCCCTGGTAAAAGATCAGCTTCCTACCAGATAATCCTCAAGTATGGTCACCACTCAACCAGCCCTGCGCACACAGAAAGAGATTTCAATGAGCTCAGGGGAAACAGACAATTCAAGGAGGAGAAAAAAATTTTTTAAACAGCATAATTAATATCTTCAGAGGAAAAGGAAACCATTGCATTCATGAAACAAGATCAAGGGGCTACAGAAAAAAGAAACTTCAGAGATATGAAAGTGCTCTTGGAAATAAAGATAGCTAAAATTTTTAAATTGTGTATGTTTGGAAGAAAAATTTTCAGAAATCTCTCAAAAGTAAAACAATCAAAGATTAAAAAAAAAAAAGCTAATAAGAGAAAAAAGACAAGAGCATAAAAGTATTATTCCTGAAGGCTCAATACTAGATCAGGAGTTCCAGAAACAGGAGACTGAGAAAAGTTTGGGGAATAATTGCCAACGAAATAATTTAAAAATTTTCCAGGATGGTAAAAAAAAAAAAAAAGAATCATATTAAGGCACATTATTGAATATTTCAGACATTAGACATAAAGACCAGATCCTTAAAGCGTCGAGAGAGAAAAATTGGGCCACGTACAAAGGATTGGGGTTCAGAGTGCATCAGACTTCTCAAAAGCAATGCTGAATGGCTGAGGGGTCTTAGTGTGGTGACGAAAATGTTCTAAAACTGATTGGTGATGCTGTTTGTACAACTTGGTAAATTTAGTAAAAACCATTAAATTGTACACTTGAAATGGGTGAATTTTATAAATCCAAAAATATATCTCAATAATGTGGTAAAAAAAAAGAACTCATAAAAAAACTGTGGAATTAATATATAAAGTATTTCAAATACAAAAGTGTATAAGTATTTCAAATACAAAAATATTGTAAAACAGCAGTAAAACAACCCATGTATAAATATTAAACATATCACAAAAACAAAAAGCAATGCTGGGTGGAAGCTAGAAGACAATAGATTAATTTAGTCCAAATTCTGAAAGAAATTTATTTTATATCTAGAATTCTCTAGGCAAACTGTCAATGACATATGAACAAAGTTATTTGCAGACATGCGAGGTTTCGAAAACGTTTGTCTCTGATGTACCCATTCTCATAAAGCTACTACAGGATCTAATGAGGAATAAACCAAGCAAGAAGACAGGGGACCCCAAAAAAGGGGAGAATCTAATACAGGAGAAAGACTAAAGAACTTTCCAGAAAGATGATGAAGGAAACCCCAGGATAACAATTGTGCAGCAAACTGGGAAAGCAACCAACTCAGACTGAAGCAGGAAAACCTCAGGCTTCAGGGTGAAGTTTCCAAGAAAATAATGGAATATACATTCCATTTATTTGATTTATTTGACTATACACAGAGAGTTCTATAAGAGCATTTGGGGATGAATAAGTGATAAGTACATAGAAAACTAAGCAAAGAAAAAAAGAAGCAATTATTAACTTTAGGGGAAAAATACTACTTAGAAAAAAGAAATGTAATCATACATAGTTTATTATGTCTTTCAGCTGTGAGCAATATTTACATAGTCATAATAAGGTAAATACTGAATGTTGATTTAACTAAAACCATGCTTCAACAATATTGAGAGAATGTGGGGTTGTGTGTGTGTGTGTGTGTGTGTGTGTGTGTGTTCAGGGAAGAGGCCAGTAAGGAAGACAAATCCTCATCTTCCTATGCAAGTTGTCTTAGTTTGGATTTCTCCAGAGGCAGACGCTGAGACAAGGATTTGCCAGCAACTTGTTTATTTGGGAGTGCAGGAACACTCACAGGGAAGTGGGAAAATGACACAGGGGAGGGAAAGCAACCAGTGAAGAATGTGCGATTAAGCCAGAAGCCACTGTGAGTGATTGGAACTTACTCCCACTGGGAAAACTCTGGGAAATGGGGCAAAACACACGTCTCAGAATTATTCCTTGGGGAGGGAGCTGAGGTATTTATACACCGGATCATGGGAGTCATTAGTTGAGGACTACTTCTGGTGGAGGAGGTGGCATATCCATTTCCTGGAATGTCAGCCTGCTGCAATATGACGGCAGAACCCCAAAGCCTTCAGGCATGCAGACTGAGATGCATTCAGAGATGCAGACTCTGGCAGTGGGAAGTGTGGAAAAATGCTTCATGGGAAGGTCGAAGTGATACAGGTGGGGCACTGGCAGCAGCTGAGAGAGAAGTCGATAGATAATGTCTAAAATCGAAAAATCCAAAATTATGATGTAAGTGTTCACTTCAGTTACAAAAATGGAGATGGATACCTGAAGAAATAGCAAAAAATGTTGAAAGCAGTTACCTTTGAGAAGTAGGAATCAGAGGTGGGGAGAAATGAAGCAGGGAGCGATTTATTTTTCGTTACATACGTGGTAAGACTATTTGGCTTTTTAAACATTGTATACGAATTAGTTTAATGAAAATTAAAATTATATTTACCAAAAAATGAACAGGCCGTTGCAAAGGAAGATGGGGTCATGATCTCAGGGTGGGACAAAGGCTGTGGGATACCAGACCTCAGCCTCAGCCTTGACTTCAGAACTGATCTCCACTGGGGTTTTCGAGAGCGTCAGGTGACAGCAGGAGGATGGCCATCAGGGGCACTTGCCTGTGGGTGGTCTGCCAGAAGACTCCTGTATGGGCTGGGGACTGGGAGAATGGTGCTGCCACTGACAGGCCTTGTGAGAGCAGGTTTGGGAGGAGAAGGTGTGAGGTCACTTTGGGGCACGTTGAGGTGGGGTAGCCAGGAGGACACCTGAGGGAGATGTCCAAATGGTCAGCTCAGGACAGGGATGAGGGCCTCAAGGAGTTTCCGGAAATTGTTCCCAGCCAGGTAATAGCAGATGGCATGGGGATCAGTGGAGATCATCCCTGAGACAGTCAAGTGAGGAAATTCACGGGCACAATCATGACACATTGAGAGTGAGATAGAAGAGATGGTGAGTAGATAGGAAGACTTGGTGATAGAAGCGTGAAGGGAAGTGTGCGGTCAGGCGTCACATTTCAAGAGCAGCGGTCACCAGTGTCCAAGGCTACTGTGCTGTCATGCAGGAGGATGAAATGCAAACAAAAGCTGTTGCATTTAGCCTGCCCTCTGAGGCTAAATGCAGGAAAACCCTCTGCACTGAGAAGTCAGGGAACCTCACTTCTGGTCCTCTTTTCACCTCTAACCCTAAGTAAGTTAATCCTCCTGGACCTCAGTCCCCACACCAGCACAATTGGACTGATCATCACAGTCAAGGGTGAGCACTGGTACAGTTACACAGGCTCGAGAAACGGAAATGATTCCAGACTGCTTGGTAAAAAGCCACCTCCCTGAGTCCTTCAAATCTGCTCTCGCTTTGCCCCCGCTTTCCTGGTCCCTACTCTGGGACGCCCCCCCCCCCAGACCTTCCTCCACTGAGGGAGGACACCTCCAGGGCCCTCTCCCAGCCCTATGGCCTGCATCCATTCTAATTGGTTGGGCCCATAGTACATTGGTTGTTATATGGTTTGACTATTGCCCCTGCTAATAATACCTTCCCTGCCTACCTGACAGCGACCTGGTGAGGATCAAATGAAATAACAGATGTGAAAGGCCTTTGCAAAGGCTCCAAGTGCTGTCATATATTGGGTAAAATATTGTTTTAACATCAAAATGCAAAAGTGGTGCTGCAGAGAGACGCGGTCACAGAGGGCACGGACACAGAGCTGTGATGAATTGCAGGTCTGGAGACAGATTGAGGGGGAGGGGAAAAGAGGGAGCAGCAGGGCAGGGAAAGGAGAGGCTGAAACCAGGCTGATTGTGCAGCCTCCGTCCCTGAGTCACCATGATGCTGTATGTAGGACACAGAGGATTTGGATCCCCTATGCCCTGCCCCAACCCTAAAAGCCAAATTCAGCTTAGACCACATGCTGGGTTTTTGCCCTTGCACCAAACTTAATGTGTGTGTGTGTGTGCGTGTGTTAGGGGGTAGAGGCAGGGGATGTAAGTCCTTATGCATATGTTCTTGTCCCTGCAGCAAACCCCAGGATGGCAGGAGTTCCAGCTATTTTGGTGTGTGTGCCACCTCTAGATATTGGCCACTCCCAGAGCCAAGCCCCACATGTGGAGTCTTCCTATAATATCAATCCTGGTAATCCTTTGCTCTCCCTAGGACCTCTACCATCTGCAAACATGTTCAAACACCTTTCTTCATTCAATGCCCACAACCACTCTGCAAATTAGGTCATATTATTCCTGTTTTACGGTGGAGGAAACTGAGGCTCAGAGAGGTTAAGTGACCTGCCAGAGATATGCAGGGAGCAAATGGCAAAGCTGGGACTTGGATCCACGTTTGTGCTTGTTTTCTTCTTCTTTACTGAACAGAGAGGACTTACTGAAGAGGTGGGGGTAACAGGGTTTGAAAGAAGGAGAAAACTTCTTTTTAAATTTAGGCCCTCTGACTCCAAGTCCAGTGTCCATGGCAAGGAGTTTCCTGGAACAACAGCTGCTTCAGCCAGAAGAGGAATTCTCCAGGAGAATCCATTGGTACCATCGTGCCTAATAATTTCAAAATTGCCTCCATCTCTCTCCCATCCACTCTGTCTTTTGTACTCATCTGATCATGTGCTCCTGTTTAATAACCTTCAAAGACTCCTGATTGCCTTCAGGATAAAATTTAAAGTCTTGGCGTGGCACACCAGGCCCTTCAAAACTCAATCTGAGCATCTAGCCCAAGGGTTGCAAACTCGAGCGCCCATAGGAGCCAGGTAGGTTAGTTAAAGAAATGAGTGAAGCAGGCAGGTGCCTGGGAGGGAGAGGAACTGGTAGGGGTTGCAGCAAGCCAGGGAGTGCACGTCCCTCTGAAGGAGCTAGCAGCTTCTCAGCTCTCAACAAAGGTGGCCATATGGGAACACAAGCCTAGGGTTACCTAGGGTCATCTTCTTGTTTTTCTAGAAAAGCCAAAAGTCCAGAGTTTGATGTGAAATCACTCAGTTTTTAAATGTTGGGACAATGAAAAGATTATACATATAGTATAAGCCAAACAACTCATATCTTCAGGTTGAATTTGGAGGGTGGGCTGCCATTGTGTGATCTCTATTTTGAGCAATCCGGTCCATTATTCCCCAAACATGCCATGTATTGTTCAAGCCTCAGGATCTTTCCCCCTATCTAGAATGCCATTTCCTCCCTCCCCTCATCTTGTTCTTTTGACAAATCTCTACTTGTCTTTCAAGACCCACGTCAACTGTCACCTTCTTTCTGTGAGAGTCCATGACTCTCTCCATCCCCCACACCAACTCCAGGCAGAATTAACTGCTCACCCATCTCATTCCCAACACACTCCATACTAATATCTAATAATGCCCTTATCGTATCAGATTTTCACTAGCACATGAGGGGACTACATGTGCTCATTCCATGGTCTTACTCTTAAACTAGGACAAACTGCCTAGTTTAAATTCTGGATCCACCCTAGGTCAAGTACTTAACCTTTCAATGTCTCCATTTTCTCATTCAAAAAATGGAAATAAAAATAGTGCCTACCACATAGGATTATAGTGAGGGGTAAATGTGTATGTAAAGTGCCTTCTATAGTCTTTGCAAGATAGTAAGTGCTTGCTTGTATTTTAGCCATACCAAAAAAAAAAATTCTGCAACCACTTACTGAGCACCTAATGTGTCCTAGATTTTGGATAGGGGGGACATGGTACCTTGATTTCCATGTTCCCTATGGGAGAAGTGATTTATCTGCTAGTGAGTTTGAAAGAAAGACGTGAGTATGCCAAGCTCAACCCCTTCCTCTCCCTTTCTTTCTCTTGGAGCAGGTCTGCCTGCATTTGGTTTTCTTCTCCAGGTGAATGTTCCAGGAAGAGGTCTGCCATGTTCAAGCTCTGCCAACTTGGCTTGGGGGAGCAACAACAGGAAGCCTACTGTGGCCGGGCATTCAAGCCTCATCTTCTGCCACAAGTTTATCCAAGATAAAGCTGGTTCTTCTATCTGCATGTCTCTCGTGTCTGTCTCTCAATAGGTCCCAAAATCTATCAAGAGGAAGAGTTCCGGTTACTGGTTCCTTCAACCAAATCCCAACACGGGGGATACAGAGGCGCAGCCTTGTCTCCTGCGCAGCTCCTGGTCTATTTTCTGTCTGGTCCCTCGGTGGGAAGGAACTCTCTGAGACAGTGTGGTGTGGGGCAGAAAGCTTGGATGTTGGAGTCACACAGATCCATGTGATTTCCAGTTCTCATTAGCTGGGCAAGATTCAAGCAAGTTATTCTGGCTTTCAGCTTTATCCTGTATAATTTGGGGTTGTTGCAAAAGTCAAGGCCTATTACAGGTGAGAGCCATTTTGCACATTCACATCAGTGCTCAAATTAAAATTTTGGACATTATGCCCAATCATGTTGCCTCCCGCAGCCTTCCCTTTCTCAACAAATGGCAACTCTGTTCTTCCATTGCTCAGGTCAAAAATCTTGGAGTCATTATTCTCTCCCACCCCATATCCAATCCATCAGCAAATTCTGTTGGCTTCACAAAATCTATCCAGAATCTGATCACTCTCCTCACTTCCACGGCTGTCTCCCTAGTTTGAGCTGCCATCACCTCTCACCTTGGTGATTGCAGTAGCTTCATCAATGGTCCCCTGCTTCCACTCTCCCCTCCTGGACTGTCTTTTTCAACCCAGCAGCCAGATGGAGCTCATTAAAAAGTGAGTCAAATCATGCCCCTCCCCTGCTCAAAATCCATCAAAGGCTTCCCGTGTCACTCAGTTTGAAAGCCAAAGTCCTTACAATGGTCTACACGGCAATATCTGGCCCCCAGCTGCCTTTCCGATCCAATCTGCTACTCTTTTCCCCCTTGCTCTCCCTCCTCCAGCCACCTCCCTGCTCCCCAAGGCCCCCTTGCTGTTCCTCAGATGTGCCAGGCATGCTCCTGTCTCAAGCATTTGCACTGTCTCTTCCCCCTGTCAGGGAATGCTCTTCCCCCAGAGAACCACATGGCTTGCTTACTCATCCCCTTCAAGTCTTTGTTCAAATGTCATTTTCTCATTGAGTCTTTCTCATTTTTTTAACTGCAACACCACTTCCCATTTACCACCTATCTCCTTTATCTTGTTTTTTTTTTCTCCAGGGTACAGTTGGCTTTCTATATAGGGCTGCCATGTACAGTTGTGCAGGCTGGATGGCCGGCTGAAGGAGCAAGAACAGGCCCAGGCTCTGTTTGCCACGATGTGCACCCAGGGAACAGGGTTGCCTCAGCCCGGAGGAGTGGCCTTTTCCTCTCCTGTATGAAGACGCTGTACACGTTAGTTGATACCCAAATATTAGAAATTTCACATCTTTTTTGTTTATCGTCTGTCTGCCCACCCTCCTTCACCAGAAGGTAAGCTTCATAAAGTAGGGATTTTTGTCTGTTTACTGCTATAGCCTCAGTTCTTATAAGAAGTGCCTGACACACAGTAGGTGTTTAATAAATGTTGACTCAATGAATATAATGACTGTTCAACCAATTTCGTTGTATTGAATTAAGAGTTGACATTAAAAATAAAAGATATTGATGCTTTTATTGAATTCTTCTCTCTTCAGATCATTTAAGAATTCTGACTGTCTAGGGGAGTGAATACTCTGAGCATCAATTACCACCTTTATCCTATCCTCTTTGATCACTTTCTGCTGTGTCTAACAGAGTCTGGGTTTGTTGCCATCCAATACTGACTTCATTTCTTCTGCATTAATCATGCTCAGCCTTGCCAACTCCAGATTCCATCTTCTAATGTTTCCTGTCATTGTGCTCCTAATGAGGAACTGTCTGCAGGATGGGGCAGAGAACATGGAACAGTGGCCAATGACCATCCAGATCTGTGAATCCAA